TATATATATATATGAATATTGTTGGGATGCAAGCAAAGTCCCACATCATTCAAACAAGAGGATGAATATGAGTTTATATACACACACTTGTCTCTATTAGTTGAGAGGCCTTTTGGGTGATGTTCAAAAGTAAATTCGTGAGGGCTTGGGTTCAAAGCGGACAATATCTCACTAATGTGACCACATGTATATCTGTATGGTAACCCCCATAAAATAAATGATATAAGATTTGGTACATGAATAAATGGTGAGTATCTCTTTTCAATTGATTCATGATAGACTCAAATATTATTTTAAATCATGAATTTGAGTTTAACACATTCTTATAAAATTGATTTATTTTAATAAAATAAGAATTGTAGTTTATAAAAATTATATTTAAAAACAATTAAATATTTGATGAATGTATTTAAGCTTAACAATTAAGTTATAATTTTCTTATGATTTAAATACTCATTTGATTATAAACTTAATTTTTAATTTCTACAGTTAAAAAGGTTGAATTTTAGTTCTTATACATATTATTTTTTTTTAATATTTGTCGTCTATTATTATAAAAATTAAAAGGAAATAAAGATGAGAGACTACAATAAAATATTTTAATTATATGGACTAAAGGCTAAAATTTATACAATTAGAAGAATCAAAAGAGTATTTAAACATTTTCATATTATATTGAAGTATTATAAAGTTGAATGTCCTATGTTTGTCATTGTAATTTTGTTATGAAGGGGTCTAATTTAGATAATTGAGCAAAAATGCATGAGTTGTTGCAACCTTTTAGTAGTGGTATTGAGTTTGATTATGATGGGTATGGATAAAAAAAAATAGGGTAAATTTTATTTTTGATTTTTCTATAATATCAAATATTTAATTTTGGTTACTTTATTTTTAAAATTTCAAATTTATAGTCCCTCAATTTTATAAAATTTATAAGTTTGGCTTTTTTTTTTTGTTGAATGTTCATCCGTTAATCGTTAAAATTATAATGTTTGTTACGATCTAATATTTTATAAATGACATGATATTTAATATTTAACAATATTTAAGTTAAGTTGCACTTTTATTTCTATTTTTTTATATATTTCATTTTCATATTATTTTATCACTTTTATGAGATAAAACTGATAATTAAAAGTAAAATTCAATTTAAATATTATCAAATATCAAGTGTTATATTATCTATTTAATTAGTGTCAAAACATGACTAATGTTATTATTTTAAGGACTAACAAATGAACATTCAATGCGAGACCAAAATTGCAGATTTCATACAATTGAAAAACTAAAATTACAAAGTTAAAAATAAAAAGATTAAAATTACGGATTTTATACTATAAAGAGATAAAAATGCAATTTATCCAAAAAAGAATAATAATAAAATTAAAATATGAGTTTAAGTGAGACTCAACTATACAAAAATGACTTATAAGATAAAAATTATCTTTCACTTAAATATTTTATTTTAGTTTTATTGCTAGTTGATGTGGTCATGTGGAATTTAGATTTTTTTTTTGTCACGTCCAACACTATTAAACTTGATATGTAAATAAATAATAAGCGACTATTTTTAATAAATATAAGATAAACTTTGTATGTGTTTCTCGGGTACATATCTTTCTTCTTCACCTGTGTTTGTTCTGATAGCTTGGGTTGTTGAGAAAAGCCTGTTGTGCTCCTAGTTCGTTGTTTGCTTGCTTCTTTTCTTACATTTCTTACCTTATCTCTAAATAAATAAAAAGTTAAAGATTCTTGTTAGATTGTACTCTATAAAGTTTGTACTCAAGTAAAATTATGAAATCATTTTCTATGTTAAGCAGCATGGATGACACATTTTCTTAAATTGTTTTTTGTCTTACCTTTGCTACAATAATAGTTTTATTTATTAGACAGTTGGTCGAACTAACAAACCGGTGACTAAACCCATTAATCAGTTCACCCTAGGTAGACTTTGTAGCCAGCAATCTATGTAATTAATTTTAGGCATTAGTTTGGAGCTACGAAACACAGTACACACAAATATAATACGATGCTGACATGCAAATAAAATAAATTATATAAAACTATATAATACAAATTTTAATAAAAAATAAAAATTAATGTGAGATAATCAAGACTACATCGGTCGACATGTTAATTCCATAAAACAAAATTAGTAAAAAAGAATTAATTCCATAAACATTTGTTTTTTTTGATAATTATGAAATTTAATAAGAAAATATATTTGTTTGAACAATGCCAATGACTAAATCAGTTAATGACAGAATAGGACGTGTTACTTGAAAGTTGAAAGTGGGTATTAAATAATTGTGACAAAACATGTTTGATATGGCAGTATATATATATAGAGGGAGAGAGATAAGACGCTGAATTTGTCTCTCTAAGTGGCTTCTCTTTGTTCCCCTTATGAGCGGAAGTGGCGATGGCGATGGCAGCGTTAAAGTTGTTGGTGGCGGTGGTGAGTCTGTTTTCAGCGTTGAGCGTGTGTTGGACGCTGAAGAGCCAAGGCTTGGCGGTGGTAGCGTTGAGAGAGAGGGTGGTCAGAGACCCGTTGGGGGCTTTATCGAGTTGCAGTGGCCATGATCCATGCTCCTGCTTCGGTGTCCACTGCTCTCGCGGTAATGTTGTTGCCTTGTAAGTAAACTCTTCTCTTCTTTCTTTTCTCATCACTCTTAATACTACTTTTCTCTCTCTCTCTCTCTCAATGTCATAATAATATGTTTAATTACCATTTTAATTACTAATATTAGTTCAAACAAATGATGGTGTTTTATGTCTCTTATGAATCACAATTTTAAAGAAAATAATTGTCATTTTAGTTTTTATATGTATCGTTTTTGTTACTTTCATAAACTTTAGATTACTAAAAGAAAAATAAAAAAGATTAAAAATGTAATATTGTTAGCTATATTATAAGAATCAAACTTTAATTAAATCTTAAAAGTGTAATACTTGATTATGAATTATTACATAATTAAAAATTATCGATTATGCAATTTTAGTTGATATTATAATTTATTTTACTAATTAATTTATTATGAATTAGTTAATTTTAGTCTTTGGAATAACTTGTATCATTTTCCTTTTCTTGATTTCTGTAGAAATTATTTTACAATAACCTTTTTGAAATATATTTTTAACTTATGTTTATAAAATATTATTTTCTTTTTCTTTTTCTTCTAAAAATACTTGTGAAAATTTTTATTCAAGTGTGTATTTTTTTAACTTCATTCGGCAACATTAGCAAGAGAAGAAGTAAAAAAAATATGTTTAATTATTTTTTTAGTCGTGCCTTTTAGTTTGAATAATTTAAAATATTTTATTTTAGTTTTATACATACATGGTTTTTTAGTTTTATAACTTTGTTAACCTTATCTTTTAGTTCTTATAAAAATATAATACATGTATTAAAAGAAATAAAAATGACATGAATAAAAACTAAAATAAAACATTTTAAAATTTATAAAATTATAAAGATAAAAAAGGTAAATTTAACTATTGAAATATGTTTGTGAATTAAAATTATATTGATGACAACGTGTTTGAATTTAAAACTTTTTACATATTATTCCATCCTAACAGTGGGTATAAAATACAAGAATTTGATTTTATGTATGGGAAAAGAAATGTGGTCAAAAGATAATAAATGAAATTGGTGAGGCTAATTAGTGGAGATGTGACGCATCTGTGACCTTACATTTGCGTTTCAATTAAAAGATGCCATTCAATAGTTTTGACGTTGTTGCCACTGTACGTTTCAACGGTTTTTGACTGCTCACCAGTCCCGACGCCTTTAGTTTTCTTTTTCTTAATTGTTTTAATTTTTTAAAATTTAAGTTAAATTTATTTTTAATCTTTCAAATTTAAAATTATTTTTTTAATTTTTATTTTTAAAAAATATTTTAGTCTTTGTGTTAAGTTTTTTAGAAAATCTTTCAATTATTATTGCATAAAATAAAATGTACTTATTAACATTTTTATTAATAAAAATATTACACTAAATCTAATTGATACTATCAAAATCTATCATTTTTATATATGTTATTAGTAACTTAAAATATTAAATTAATTTTTTTAAAAATTATATAAATAAAAATGATAATTTTAAATTTAAAAAAATAAAAAAATATATCCTAAATTTAAAATATTAAATATATATTTAAGTCTAGTTATTTTTAATATTATAAATGAAAATTAGTATTAATATATATAGAGAGAAAACCAACCATATTTATATTAAAATACAAAAATAATTAATAATAATTTTGATTAAAATAAATAACTTAAATTAAAATATTACATACAAAATTACCATATTGTAATTTATATGATTATAATTATTACAATTATTGTTACAACTATTATTACCATAATAATAATAATAATTATTATTATTATTATTTTTGTTGGTAATTGTGATTACTGATTACTATCTTCATTATCATTATGTTTATTGAAGTATGTGTTTTTTCTTTTTCGAATTGGTTCATGTACATTTTTTTTTTGTATATATAAAATTTGCTAGCATAACGCTCTTTAATTAATTATACAGTCTTGAACACAATTTCTGAGATTTATTAAACGTAAAAAGCGGAAATGTTTGTGAAATCAGAATGAATACCATATCAAAGGAAAAAAGCGGAGGTTTACTTAATCATGTTCAATAATTTTTTTTTCGTATCTACCACCACCGATCATGTTTAATAAATGTGAAATACTGTTTAAATATTTTTTCTCTATTATTTTAGATAAATAAATTAAAATGCTATAAATTTTATATTACAAATTATGAAACTCAGTCGATATGACAAAATAATTTCCATTAGGATAGACCAAATAAAAGAATTTAGAACAATATGTAGAGTATTAAGTTTGAATCATATTATTGCATCGTAAATTTGATGATAAAAATGATAAAAAATAATAATTTATTTTTTTTCAGAGAAAAACTAATTAGTATCCTTAGCACGTCGGATAAGGAATAAAAATAAAAAATTTCAATTGAAAAGTGTATTGACACATTATTCCGTCTAGCTTTATTTTAATTTTTAATTTAAACTTTATACGTATTGATTTTTTAATGGATCCTAAGGACACTAGTTAGCAAGATTTTATTTAATATAATAATTAAAATGTTTTGTGATGAATTTTTTTTAAAAAAAATTCATCGGCAATGAAATTTTATAATAAAAGTTTAATTTTAGAAAAACATTACACTGAATTGTGTATTATACCAAGTGGCGGGGTGGTCTTATTGACATTTTTGTATGTTAGAGCATAAAATATACAATGGACACTTGATATGAATATTCATCCTGCAGGAATTTAAAAGACCTTTGTCTCGAAGGAACACTGCCACCAGAAATTGGAAACCTAGCTCACATAAAATCAATGTAAGATGACGAACATGCCAATGCATATGTTTTAGAAATAAATATTCCTTAACAAACTTTGTATGCTGTTCAGCATTTTGCGCAATAATTCTTTCTTTGGAGAAATTCCCAAAGAGATACTACACTTGAAGGAGTTGGAAGTCCTTGACTTGGGATACAACAACTTTAGTGGATCACTTCCATTTGACCATGCCAATATGCCATCCCTCACCACTCTGTAACTTAATCCTTTCATGCCAAATATTTTTTTTCCTATCTTGTTCTTTGGTGGACTAATGTCATCAAATTTACACTGCAGTTTATTGGACAACAATTACCATCTAGCCAACTTAACTCCAGAACTTCGGATGGTTTCTGAATTTGATGGCAATGAAAACCATCTAACCGACGCCACCACCAGAGAATTATTTGTTGGCAGATGCAATTTACGGTAAGCATATGATGATGGATTGCACGAAGATTTCTGAGTTCATCAATATTAAAATTCAAATTTGATGAACAGTTCTTATTAAATAGTTGAATGACATCATTTTTATAACATGCCATATTTCTAACATGAAAATAATACAGTCCAATATTACTCATGGTGAAGTTTATTATCATATCAAGTTTGAAATTATTTGCTTGTGACATTTGTCTCAGGCACACTGGCCAACATGGGGATATTGCATACAGGAGGCAACTTCTCATGCCAGCAAATGCTGCCAATACACCTAGAATCCAAGGGGATGTCAACCAAGGGAAGCTTAAACAATCAGCATCACATTTTCCTTCTTCATTACCACCAGATTTTGAGCCTTTCTCATCATCCCCATCAGAAAGCCCTTCATATTCTCCAGGATCAGCTCCAATATCATATTCACCATCGCCATCTCCCTCCAATATTTTTTTCACTCCTTCACCTGTAGTGTCACCAACTCCAGATATATCACCCACAGCAAGCACACCTCTCGCTGTGTCTACACCACCAGAGATTAATTGGATTCCAGCACCTAGCCCTTCTCCATTTTCTAACCAAGGGAACACATATAGTTCCAATCCAATGCATCATTCAGCAATAATGTGGTCTGCAGTAGGGGGCTTCTCCTTATTGGTTTTGGTGTCAGCCATTATTTTTGCTTGCTTCCAAACTAGGAAGGTTGTGGCTGTTAAACCTTGGTCCACAGGGTTGAGTGGCCAACTGCAAAAAGCTTTTGTAAAAGGTGATTTATGAATGCAATAAGTCATTTTGATCTTATCTACTTCACGCTGAAGATTAGCAATATACTCAAATTCTAAAATGCATTGTAATTGTAAATAAAAAGAATGAAGTTAGTTTTCTAGGCCTTCCACCCTTCACAAGTATTTCTTTATGTGTGATTTAGGTGTGCCAAGTCTTAAACGAGGAGAACTTGAAGCAGCTTGCGAATATTTCAGCAACATCATTGGTTCTCTGCCTGATGGAACTGTGTATAAGGGGACACTCTCCAGTGGAGTTGAGATAGCTGTAGCATCCTCTGCAGTGATCACAGCTCAAAACTGGTCAAAAAGTATGGAAGCTCAATTCCGAAAGAAGGTATGCTAGCAACCAATGTATAAAATGCACCAAATTTATCATCGTGGTCCTACTTCTTATCTTTGCATGATTGCAGATAGCGACATTGTCTAGAGTGAACCACAAAAATTTTGTGAATCTTATTGGGTATTGTGAAGAGAATAAGCCATTCTCAAGAATGATGGTGTTTGAATACGCACCAAATGGAACACTCTTTGAGCATCTACACAGTGAGTGACATTTTGTTCAAAATTTACTTACATCCACAGCCATATTTACATCCACAGCCATATCCTTTGATTATTATAGGCTCATAACAACCTAACTTTTTTTCCCAACCAGGCTATGATGAGGAGGGCTTGTATTTTGTAGCTAAAACTTATTGATTAGTTCCTTGATTTGACATCTTGAAAGTTGTTTGCAACATGCACATAAAAAGTTGTTTTGAGTTGACTTTATTCTTGCATATGCTGCAGTTAGAGAAGCAGAAGGACTAAATTGGACAATGAGAATGAGGATAGCTATGGGAATAGCCTATTGCCTAGAGTATATGCATGGGTTGAAACCATCCATTGCCCATAGAAACCTGCATTCTTCCTTTATATACCTTACTGAAGATTATGCTGCTAAAATATCAGATCTTAGTTTATGGAATGATATGTGTGCTACAAAGAATGGGTCTGCAACCACACAACTCTTGGAAACATCATCAGCAGACACCAAGGACAATGTTTACAGCTTTGGAATAATATTGTTTGAGTTGATTACAGGGAGAATTCCTCATGCTGGGGACAATGATCTTCTGGAAGACTGGGCAGCAGAATATGTAAGGTGGGGGAAATCCTTAAGAGATGTTGTGGATCCAAGACTGAACTCTTTGCAAGAACAAGAGATTGAGGAATGGTCTAAAGTGATAAGAAATTGTGTACATACAGATCCAGAGAAAAGGCCAACTATGAAAGAAGTTACAACTAGACTCAAGGAAATCACAGCTATGGGGCCTGATGGAGCAAATCCAAAAGCATCACCACTTTGGTGGGCAGAAATGGCAATTACATCAACTGATTCAAGCTGAGACATTACTATTATAATTTTAACCCAAATAAAAGTGAAATGTTGTATTGTACAGTTACTCAAAATTTGGAATTCATGCACTTTTGATATATTTATGTTTATACTAATGTTTTCTAGACTATTCTTTTCAAGCTTAAAAAAATTGCATGTAGAGAGAACAAATAACTTTTATCTCATTGTAGAGGGATTGATTTTTGTTGATGTTTGGAGTGAAAGAGGGTGCACACCCTTTTGAATAATATTTGGGAAACAATTGTTGGCCGTGTTATGTTCTTTTTTTGGTGGCAGGCAGTGTAATGTTTGCCTACTACAAGGAAACAAAAATCATTTTGTACTGTGAATGCTTAGTTGACATGGAAATGCACGTGATGCCTACACAATCTAAATGTAAAACTTCAAAACACTGGGACACATGAATGCTTATTTACAAGCTCTACTTTCTTTTGGTGCTTGATAGACACATGAATACTTAAACTGAAGCACATTATAAATTACACATTGTAGGAAACAAACGTATGAATCTCTTTATAAATCATAATCCTGTCACTGTACAAATGTGTGAGATAAATTACGTCCAAAAGGCAAGAATCTATATTATATCAATGGTGTTACTACTCACATATTCTGATGTACACTTGAATCATCCTCCTATTTGATCATGTAAAACAGATGACCTCATCTTTTCCTCGAATCATCCTACCAAGTATTGCTTCTTGGGGGGGGGGGGGGGGGGGG